TCTGCTTCATTTTTTATTGAAAGATTTATTGTTGAATTCAACGCATTAAAGGGTATGGTAGTCCTTCGCGGTTTTCGAGGCAGTCGCTTTATACGAATCAAGACCCGTATAATTTAGCGTCTGCTCGAAGGGACTTCTCTCGACATTCTTCGTTCAATCGTTCTGCTGGTAGCGCGGGTGACGCAATTTTATGGGGTAGGGATACAAGTAACTCACCTCTGAAGTCTCGGGGTTAATCGTCGTAATATTTAGTTCATTTTATACGTGTGTCTTTCCACCTATTTGGATTACTTCGTTGTTATAACATATTAATTAAATATTGATCTCATGAAGACATTGTTACTTTTATTGTTTTGTTTTTTCCTGCCAGAGGCACAAAGTCTCGTTTTCGGTGATGGTTTAATAGTTCCCAAAATGTGCTCTTGTTAGCTTCAGTTGTTTTTTATTTTCTTATTTTAATTTTAACTTTAATTTTATTTTTCCAACCAGCCTTTTTGTTTGTTAAGTCCAAAATACGGGTAGGCTAACAAGTCCTCTAATGTAGTTTTTTGAAGTTTTTGAATTAAATCAGTTTTTAAAGTGGTTTCACATTTTTTAGGTTGTAACCTGTAGGATTTTGTGATGTTTTTGTTAAGTTTGGTATTCTTTGCGCTGTATTTTTGGTGTTTTGTGAAATGTTAGGAATTTCGAGGACATCAGACGTTTTTTGGGATTTGTTGGAATAAATATTTTCTAGTATGTTCATGACGTTCCAAAGTTAATTGGTAGATTTCATTTGTTTTGCATATGCAATGCAGTGTGTATTTTGACTGTATGAGAGATTTTTGGTGTATTGGTGGTTTCAGAGCTTCTTGGTTTTTCACTGTGTAGCGGTAGGACTGCTGATATGCAGAAACGGGTAACTTTCGTTAAATTGACACCTGCTCACAGACCATTGCATTTTTTTTTTTGAAGAGGAGTAGAGTGGAAATTTGGTGTTATAAGTTATCAGTAAACAAAATATGGGGATTTATTGTGATTTTATTTAGATTTGAGTGATTTTTATGTTCCTTTATGATTGTGGGTTACTTTAGGGGTTTTCATCTTTGGTTGACTAATAAAACCGGTGTTTGGATATATGCTTTTGTTAAAGCACTTTTTTTTTTGGTAGTTTGGATGAAGAGTTTTGTCCATCTCACTTGTCGTATTCTTCTGAAGTTTTTAAACTTTTTGTATATACAGATTCTCTTCTGCTACTTCTTCTGAAAGTGTTTTTTTTCTCCAGAGTTTATCTTTATCTAGAAAATTGTTTTTTCCTAGTTTTTTTTTTTTCAGTATCGTTGGCTTTTAATCTACATTTCCTTTTCCAGTTCTATTTCATCCTGCACTTTCGTCAATTTTTACAGCACGACAGTTTTTTCTGAATCTGTGTCGAGCAGTTTTTTTTGCCTAGAAGGGACACAGAATTTTTCAGAATTGTTTGCTAAATATTCAAGCTGTCGCATACTGTTCGATAAATTATCTTATTTCGGTCATAAGTCAAACACATTGAATTAATCCCTATGCGCCTTTTTTCTTTCTCGTATGGTGTTACCTTTTTGAAAGCTCTTTTGTTCTAAAATCTAATTCTAATCATTATCATCGCCGTAAACTGAGGGCTTAACTGAGCGGGGTTATAGGTAGTACGCTTGAAATCTATGTCTTGAATTCCTTTTTTTCCACTTAATCTGTCTTTTCCAACCCTCTTTAAAATGGTGCGGCTACATGTTGTGCGCCATCTTTTTAAAAGTGCGTTTTTTAATTGTTTTATTGCGAAATAATTACCTCTGCCGTCAGACTATGCTTATTTTGTCGGACGTTAAAGCACCAACTGAACGGGTTCGGCTCAGTCTGCCTGACGTGAAGGCTTTTGCCGAGGAAACTTATGGAGGCGAAGGGACCTTGACTGTTTCGGAAAAGTAAAAATTTTTAGCATACATTTTAAGTTCGTTCAGTAGCGGCTGTGCTTTTGAAACATTTTAGTTTTTAGGTTTTGAAGCAATTTAGGGTTACGCGGGTTACTTGAGTAATCTGATAAGCTTTTTTTAAAGAGTTTCAAGAGAAACTGTTTAATTTTGCTGCTTCAAAGAATTGAATCTTTATGATGGTTCATAATTTGGTGTGAGGAATTGCTGTCAGGTTTTCTTCTCAAATTTTTTCAGAGTTTTCTAGTGCTTTACGCCCTTAAATTTTAATTACTAACGTATCTTTCAATATTTGATGTCTTTAGCAACTGTTTTAGCTCTGTAGTTTGGGTATCAAAGGAAACTACTCAAGGGTTTTGCATAACATACCCTTCAATAATTCTCCATGCTATTTCTCGTGACACAACTGCTTTTCCGGACGAGTGCATATATCTTCTAGTTGATGCAAAAAGTGGCGGTAATTCTTGAAGTTGATGTATTAAGGATAAACGCGATGTTTATTGGTTAACTTGGATTTCGATATAATGCATTCATTTCCCCTACATACACGTGAACGTCTTTGAAGCACGTCTGAAATTTTAGATTTGAAATTGATGCCTGAAATAAACGAAGCACGTACTTCGGGTAGTTTAAACGATAGCAGTGACGAAAGCGATGAGGAGGAAAAATCAAGTGTGGCAATAAGATTTGTGCCGCAGGATAATGGAATATGTACGAACTGTTTTTTTTTT